GTGATGATACTTCAGGCATCTGTCTGAGCAAAGTGAACTAAAAAGTAATCTTGAAAGGCGTGCTAAGTTGAGTCAGTAATGTCACATGGGCCACACACAGATGGGAGCTAAATGAAGAGAACAGATAGCATATTCTTACTTGGCTACATTTTCAGTATATTTCAAGCCAAATGAAGTGTGGTGAAAAATCAGCTTGGGTGGAGCCGACGTGAATTTTGTGTTCATTAGCATCTGTTCGTGCACCCCTACCGTGACCATGCCTGGTAGGTTACGCAGGGTGACTTCAGTGAGCATAATCCGTTTTTTGGATGTTAGTAACGGAAAAGAAGGCTTGGAGAAGAGGCGGCAAAGCACCGGGAATGGAATGAGAAAGGCTGCAGGTGGGGGGAGACTGGGAAGAAGAGCCCCCCCATGGGTATCACTTAGCTCCCCAGAAAACAAGTCCCTCCAGTGTGCTCCTTTTTTTTTTTAATATGACATGATTCTAATTTAATTTCATGGTTTTGGGGGTAAGTGCTTCCTTTAAAAATAAAAATTTTTTTATTGCTAGTTTTTATAACATTATTTAAGTGGATGTTCTGTTTCTTACCTGCCTGCCCCCCTCTCCAACCCTTCAGGTAAAGAGACTCTACGGGAAACGACGTGACCCTTTCTACGAAGCCCAAGAGAACCACAACCTAATTGGTGTGGCTAATGTGTTCTTGGAGTGTCTCTTCTGTGACGTGAAACTCCAGTATGCAGTTCCCATCATCAGCCAGCAGGGGGAGGTAAGGAGAGGCCAGCTGCAAAGAAAAAGACAACGGGGTTTTTCCTTTGTTTTTAACCCGATTTATTTTCTTGAGGTAGATCAGGAAAGTCAGGAGAATAGTCGGAATCCACATTCTTTTTTCTTTACTAATGCAGATAGAAACTGCCAGAATTAAGACATGGTTTTAAAAGATGATTATAGCAAGTTTTATATTCGCGGTTCACAAGTTTTTTCTTCGTTTTAATCAAATTAAAAACCCTTTGGTAACCAGATTCAGCTCTGTGCTCGACGTTAATTTCTCTGTTAATCTCTTCCCTTTATAATACACTCTAGTTCTTTCCTAACTCCAGGCCTCAAAATGGCCTTTCCAAGATACAACTGGGGAGGATTCTTTTGAAATCCAAAGTATTCAAAGAAAACGAACTTCAATATCCCATTATGACTCTTTTTGCACTCTGATAGTTTAGTTACTTAGATATATTGTCCTTATGTGGACTTAAGACATATCAGAAAATGTTCAAGTTCAAATTTAAAATTTTTTTTTTTACCCATTTCATCAATTAAAGTTTTTATTTTTTTTTTTGTTTTAATTTTTTTTACCGTGCCTTGGGTGAAAGTTTAGAGAGCAAATTAGTTTTCCATTCAATAGTTTGTATACAAAGTGTTCGCTGATCTTAGTTTCATTCCCCACAATGTATCAACACTCTCCCCATTTCTGTCCTATGCCCTGTTTCCTTTCGTCCTAGTTTTCTACCCCTTCCTGCCTTTTCATCTTTGTTTTTGGGCAAATGTTGCCCCCCCCGCCATGATGTTTTTATTTTTAATACTTGCTAGCTCATCCTTCAGTAACATACAAACTTGGACTGCTAAGTTATTCCCTGGAATGCTTAGAGCAGACTGAGGATAAGATAGTGTTCTGTACAAAGTGAAGCTGAGAAGTAGATCCCAGGTTCCTAGCTGTGGTGTGAGCTTACCATCTACACGTGATAACTCCCTGGACGCGTGCTGCTGTAGAAGACCAGTGAC